CATCTTGGTTAATGTGCGATTCTTTCTTTTTGTAATCACATTAGATTGCGGAGAATACGGAGCAATAATTTTAGCAATATGATTTCATGCTTCTTGAAATATGCTTCTGACTCCTTAGATCTGTATTTTCCTCCTTTGTCGCTCCTGAGTCTTTTCACCTTAAGTCCAAGCTACATCTCCATACGAGTGCGAAACTTGACGAACTTGCTGAAAACTTCATCTTTAGATTTTAGTAGGTAAACGTGGCAGGAGCGAGAATGGTCATCAATGAAGGTGATGAAGTACTTCATGCTGTCTCGAGTGACGAAGCTCTTGAAGTCATAAGTATCTGAATGAATCAGATCCAATAGGTTGGTGCTCCTTGTGACACTTGGAAATGACTTCATTGTCAGCTTCGCTTGCGCGCAGACTTTACAATTCTCAGGTTTGTTACTCCCATATCTTGGAAGTAATTCTAACTTCTCCATGCTAAACAGTTTTCTATAATTTACATATCCCAGCCTATTGTGCCATAACATAGAGAAGTAAGAAGAAGATGATATTTTGTTTATAACTGAGTTGGGTACAATAGTACTGATCTTATGCATGCCATCAATACGATATGCATTGCCAAAATATATTTTCTTAAATGATAACACAATCTTTCCTCCTTGAAAATCCAGCCTCATACCTACATCACACAGCAGACATTCAGAGATTAAGTTTTTGATAATTGAGGAAACATGTTTGACATCCTTCAATGTGAGAGTCTTCCCTAAAGAGAGTCAGCACCACAGTTCCAGTTCCGAGAACAGGAACTATTGAACGATCAACCATTAATATGTTCTCTTTGAGAGCAACATAAGAAGAAAACAGATCTCTGTTGGAACAAACATGGCAGGTGGTACCTGTATCTAACCCCTAATCAGAGATTTTGCTGGGAGTTGTCACATGAAAGAGCATAGCCACATAATTGTCAACTTGATTGACATTGTGTGTTGTTTCCTATTTTGGTGTTTTGCAGTCCTTGGCAAAATGTCCTTGCTTCCCACAGTTAAAGCATTTACCGCGCTTCTTGAGCTCTTTTTTCTAAACATTTAGGTTCTTCGAATTCTGGTTCTTTTTTTGTTAAAAGATTTTTTTCCTTCTTAGAAGAACTACTAGTTTTCTCAAAGTTAGCAGCCATCATGTTAGCAGACACCTTCTGCTTAGCAATGAGCTTAGTTTTCGTGCGAGTCTGAATCTCGTCCTCGATCCGAATGAACCTCTTCAAATCAAACATAATCACTTGACTTTTCCTTCTCCGAATGTCAGTGAAGAATGACATCCAAGATGGAGGAAGCTTGTTGACAATTGTACCAGAAATAAGGGTTTGACAAAGATTGATTTGTTCATCATTCAGCTTCATAACAAGCTTTTCAAGCTCTTTGACTTGAGGCAAAACCTTAGTGTCATCTTCAAACTTAAAGTCTAGAAACTTGTCAATGAGTTAAGATTTGGACAGCTTCTTCTCATACTTGTACTGGTCCTTCAAAGCATTCTAGATTTTCATTGCAGATGTCTTCTTGGTGTAAGCATCTGCTAGATGATCGGCTAGGCAGTTAAGGAGATAACTCCTGTACAAGTGATCATCTCTAGCTCAAGAGGCTTCATACTCAGAATCTTCTTCAGAGTCGGGTTTCTCCTCAGAAACCACATAATAGATTTTAGGAGTTGCATCCTGAAGATCACTTTCCGACGCTATGCGTTGTAGTTAGATCCGTCAAAGTTCTCTAACTTAAAACAGTTTACTCCAAGAGTCCTCCCAGGATCCATGGTAGATCAATAATATTGCTTTAAGATTGTTGGCGCCTGTGGCTAAATCAGTGAGAAATGAAAGCAACTGAAGTGCTGTATTTTAAAACATTTTCAAGTTAGCTGTTGTGTGTTTGTGAAACGATGTGCTTAACAATATTTGATCTACTCCGGTGTAAGAATCCCAATGCCAAACTGTTTTCAGGAATAGCAGTACAGTTCAAGGGTGTGCACCAACCAAGTACTGTTAAGATCTCATCGATCTATAAGACCTTTCGGTCAAGATAACGATCTCCTCGATCTGTTAAAACCTTTCGGTTCAAAACATTTTGGTTCAGGCAAAGATCTATCGATCTGTAAAAACCTTTCGGTTAAGACAGATTTTTCGATCTGTAAAATTGTTTCGATTCAGGGTTATGTTCATTCAGACACAGACTAAAGCTTGCACGCTTTCTAATTCTACAGCAACAACACAACAACTCGAACACTTCAGTGTGTTTTTTCATATGTACCAAGAGCTGCCTCAATGAGCACTATTTATAGACCTCTAAGGCCAGCTTAAGGGTCACCGTCCCGCAATCAATTTAACTGTTACAAATCATAATGACAATTATGATTGTAACAGCAAATGACTTAATTACTGTAACTGCTGCATGCAATAACGCCTGAACACGACCCAGCCTGAACGCGAGGGTCGCGTTTCTCGCACCCTCGCGTTCGCCTCGCGCGAACGTGAGGGTCGCGTTCCCTTTTGCGAACACGAGGGTCGCACCCTTGCTCGAACGCGAGGGTCGCGTTCCCTCTTGCGAACGCCTGGGTCACCCGCGAGGCTTTCCCCATGCTGCAAACGCGAGGCTCGCCCGCATGCTGCGAGGCAGCCTGAGTGGCGGTTATAGTGGCAGTCAACGTGACGCCAAAGGACGCCACCTAGCCCTGATGCCTTCGTGCGAAGTATAAAGTACGCCTTGCAAAGCGTCACTTAGCGCCTTAGCCCGATTAGCCCCGATCCCTGGCCCACGGTCCACGAGCCCACGACCCATGACCCACGACTCACTAGTACTTATGAGGGATTAATTTAATTATTTAAATAAAAAACAATTCTCGACTTGCCTACGACAAGCTTCGAACACAGGATTTTTTGAAACACCAAAACTTTTACTTTCCACTACGCTACTAAGGATTTCTAAAAAATACCAGTAGTTATATATATGAAAACTCATTTTTGAAAAGCAGTTTTGACCAAAAAATTCAACAATACTTGATATTGATTTTCATTTTCATGTAAGAAAATGAGGTAATGAGCATGAAACAAGATATAACAAACAAGAGCCAAAATTTACTCTATAGGGACTGAGAATGAGGAAAAACTAGATGAATCCATGCCTAATTTTCTATTCAAAGCATACCGCCCCCATCAAGTTTTGCATAAAAAAATTGTGAGTATATGCCTGAAGCTTGACTTTCCAATCGTACCCAAAAACGACTGAGGACAACAGCGGAGTCCTGGAGGCGATTTTCTAGAGTGAGATTCTTTGGAATTGGGTACGAGTGAATTCTTCTTTATTTGCCGAGCCAGAGATCAAATTTAGCCTTTCTGGTATGAGATTCAACATTAGATATCTGATATGCATCCTACTACCCGAGGTGAAGGCTATCAGAAAAGAGTAAATTTAAAAACCCGAAGAAAAGAGGGGTTCTTTTTTCCTTTTTTTTGGGTGGGGGTGGGGATTCATTTCCCGCTCCCCTCCCCGTGAACTTTGTTTCTCCATAAAATCCCGAAAGCCCCTAAAATGCCAGTATGTACCAAATTGTCCTGAAAACTCTATCGTGTCTCAAACGAACCCCACAAAACTATTTAATTTTTCCCCAAAAAACCCCCTCAAAAAGCAAGGAGCAAAGGAGAAAATGAGCCACATAGAAAATAAGGAAAGAACAGATTTGATACTCCAATTGTAAGAGACACTTCTAGGGGGTTTGTGGCAAAATTTGAATTTTTTTTGGTTTTGGGGGTAGTTGAAACACTTGCAGTTTTAGGGGTTTTTGCAAAAGTGTTATTATTTATTTATTTATTTTTGGTGATGGGGGGGAGGGGTGTTCCATTTGAGACACATTTCAGTTTTAGGTGTTTGGTGGAAAGCTTTGGGGATTTTATGGAGAAACAAAGTTCAGGGCGCCCCCTTGTTTAAAATTTGGATGACATACGACGGATTCCTCGCTAAATAACTATATGCTGGACCATTTGACCTTGTCAGAATATAACAGATGCCATAGTGGTTAGAAATAAAGATAGCTTGGTTCCTTTATTTCGGAACATGATCATGCATCAAAGGATCTTAATTATATAATCTTTTTTACCTACTGTCTGTAGAGCTAGAATATAATCTCTAATTTAAATTTGTTTTTAGTATATTGTGTTGATTTGGTTTCTCCTTTTTCATATTAAAAACCGTGAGTAAAGCATGAATGTTACTAAATTTCATGAAGCTCAATCTGTTTGATATCGTATATAAAATAGTGAAGTTTTTTTTCCGTAAGCAAATGGAACACTAGTGATACATTGTATTGGCTATTTTGGTTAATCTGCAGACTTTATGTTCTTTTTTGTTGCTATTACCAGCCACTTTGTTTCCTCCTTGCCTATTTTCTTTCTTTTGTTTTTAAATTTAAAGGGTTAACTAGCCCAAACTACTTTAAAAAAGGGATGTCAATTAGATAAACCCGGATTAAAGAGAACTCTGTTTGTCTTCCATTCCTTAGAGAACTATTAGTTATGTCTTACGGAGAGGGCAAGGATGCTATATGGGAAATCCGTGTCTGGTTTATGTCTTCATTTTCCAAATGCCTTTTTTCTTAATCTTAGTATTTTTTTGGGGGGGTGATGGTAAAAGCTGTTTCTGTTATTGTCTTATCCCTTTAATGTATATTCCATCATCTGCTTGGTGCTTATGACTATATCTAATTATGTCTGGTTAAGGGTTTTGGGTCCAATTTTCCTACTGGGATATATTAGGATTTCAATATGCTTGCATATAATACTTTTCATGGGGCATGGCATGGTTCTTGAAGGTAGGGAACTAATGAAGATGAATTTGAACTATAGTCTTGATTGTTGTGGATTCTCTAGTTTAATATGGTACACAAGCACAATCTTTATGCTAATCAGCTAGTCTACTAAATTTGCATTTTAAATAATGTTTTGCTCTCTCTAATTAGTTGAACAAATGCAGAAATAACCATTAAATAATATTGACGAACCTCATGTTACCAAAAGTGAGGAAAGCTGGCGGGAGGGAAGAAACTGCAGCACACTATGCCTTTGGTCCCGTTGAAGATGATGTGATCATCAAACACAGGCTTCTAACACGAACCACCACTACAAGGGGGGAGCCGCCATTAAAGAAGCTTCAGAAAAAATTCATATCATTTGCATTAGAAGTCGAGAAGGACTCAGATAACTATGGTGACTGCGAGAGACTTTATAAGGCATTGTTGCAAGAGATGGCCACTTTTGAGCTGCCTCTGCTTAAGAGCAAAGCTGTTGTTGATGCGAACCAACGAGAGAAAGAGAGCTTTAATGAGCTTCAGGAGCAAATACAGCACCAGATCTTGCAAGCTCAGGCTGATATTGAAGAGCTAAAGAAGCAGCTGGAGGAGAGCAAGATCGAGAGGAAGCACAAGGAGGAGTGTGAGGCAATAAGGAGACTGATTGCTTTGCAACCAGCAAGGTCTGAAACTCAGAAGGTCATATCTGACCTCGAGAAGGAAATATCATCCTTGGAGGCTGAGAATATTGCTGGCATGAGGACACTGGATCTCAGGAGAAAGCAGTTCTCTCTTCTGTTGCATGTGGTAAGTTTTATGGTGGAAATTTTATCTTTAACTGTTTCATACATTTATTTTTCAGCTAGCAATTACCAAATACTATGGGATGATTCTTGTTTTATGGGCAGAGGAGAGTAAACAATCGCTTTGATCGGATCTTTTTTTCATTTTCTTTTTTTTAAAACCAAACTGAAGTGGACTGAAAAGGAAAATGAACTGAACCAAACAACTGAATTTCTGTTCAGTTCAGTTCATTTGTTTGAGTTTGGTCAAGGCCAGCTAATTTGGCCCGATGAAAACACAAGGACGAGGTTTTAAGTTTTGGATCTGCCCCTGCCAGAAGTGTTATAAGCATTTTTTGTTTTGTGAGATCAAAAATAACTAAAAGTACAAATAAAAATGTTAGAGCAGGAAACCAGGGAAGTTTAAAACAATATAAAACCAGAAAACTCTTTAGAACATTGTGCTAGATTGATGGGATTATTTGCATATTTCATTCTTTAAAAGAGTACGGACTATTTGATATTTGGCATATCAAATCAAAATAACTAGTCCACTGGGTTCTACGCTGCTATCTTGTTAATAACAACAACAAGGCTTTATCCCGAATTTGGGGCAGGCTACATGAATCAAATTCTTGTTTAATTGAGTTCTCTCCTCCACTGAGGCTTGGTTTGGTGGGAGGTACAGTGAGGGAAGGTAATGTAAGGTAAAGTAAGGTTCAATGAGGTGCAGGAGTGATATACCTTTGTGGTTATTGTTTGGTTGGAGAGAAAGGGGAGGTACATGACTTTTTAGTTCATTTTACATCATCTTTCTCCTCACTCATGTCCCTCCAAATTAGAACTCCCTACCAAAGAGGATTTTTATTTTCGTCTCTTATCCTACTCTGCCTCCCCTCCTGCCAAACCAAACCTAAGTAGTTAATCATTGTCATGTCCTTTTTGCTTCCAACCAAGTGTTGAACCTAAAGCAGTATCACAGCTTTTTAGATAACAATGACAACTCATATTTTCTACTACTATGTCGCTGAAATACAAAAGTTACCATGCCATTGTTACACAAAAGTCTATGGTATTGGTTTATTGGTATAGATTTAGGATTTGGTTTCCAGTTGGTTTAGAATCAAATCCAAGATTTATTTGAGATTGTTCTGGAGTGTCATAATGTGTTTTTACCTACAGCAATATCTGCAGGGCGACTAATTTATCGCGCATTTTAAAGAATACTGAGTAAGTTGATATTTGACCTGTCAAAGTCAAAATAATTTATCCACCCGGATCCTAGACTACTATCTTGCTAATAACAGCAGCAACAAAGCTTTAATTCCAAACTTGTCTTGCTCAAGTAACTCCTCCACGAAGTTAATCATTATTGTATCTTTCTCAATTGCTTCTAATTAAATCCTAGACCCAAATCAATATTCACAACTTTTTAGATAACAATGACAAAGCTCATACTTTTGGTACTGCTGAAATACGAAAATATGGACTGCTGTTGTTACCTAAAAATCTGGTGATATTGCTTTATATCCAGGATTTGGTTTCGGTTTGGTATAGAATCATACTCAGGATTTTCTTCAGGTTCTTCAAGAGTGCCATAGTATGCTTTCTACAGCGATATGGGCCGGGCAACTAATTTGTCTTGCATTTTGAACCTTTTCTTATCTCTAAAGAACTTAAATTTTCTGGCAGTTCATAATCTTTTCAAGCAGTCCTTTCGTCTGTCCATCTGTGCTTGTGGTGCTTCTTACCGTTAAAACTCGTAGTAATTTATATCTGTTTCCCTCCATGTATTTGTATCTGCAGGTCGATGAGCTGCAGAACACCATTCAGGATGAGCAGAAGGGTTTGACCGATGAGCTGAGGGCCGTCGTGGAAGAAACCAAGACTGGCTTTGAAGATGGCAGTGGTGGGGGCTCAGAGGCCATGTCGGTTGACTAATTATTCAGTTGCGTGCTTTATCATTTACTTTTCTTTTAGTTTTACTCTTGGGTCAAGGTTGCATCTGATTCGAATTGTGTTCTCTTTGCAAGTTGAGGATGTTCGATAATGTCGTCTATTGCTGTTACAACTTTATTTTGAGTAAAAAGACAGGAAGAAGCAAATGACTAAAGTTTACCTTACCTAAGTTTTTCGCACGATCCGTCCCCTCGGAGGACCTGACCTACACTTAGTTTGGATAATAAGCTGCTCTCCATTATTCCTCCTCGGTGGACACAATGGCCGTAACGGCATCATCCTCTTCGACGTCTGGGACACCTGGGAGGCTAATACCATGGTCTTTGGCCCACACTCCCTCTCCCTCAACCTCACATACCTCATCCCGCCTCCGTCATCCCCTGCCTCTGCCTTTACAGCTCTCAGACCAGCCTCATTGCCAACTCCGCTAACATCGCATCCTACCTCACTGCCACTGCGCATCATCAATATCTCTCGACTCTCCCTCTCCCTCTCCCATCTCCAGTAGAAACACAGGATACGCGGTAAAGTTCTTCCGTAGTTTGCAATAAACACGGATGACGGAGCACCGGAATACGCCCTTGCCAGGATCGTTCAAAGTGATGAATATTCAAAGGGTCTCGTGGAGTAAAAGTAAGTTTTGGCCGATTATGTGTACAACCTCTCATAGTTCAAGTGAGTTTTATGGAATTAAATAGTTCAGGGTTATATGCAAAAGCCCAAGGTCAGGCGTTTTCTAAAATTAACTCTCTCTCTTTTTTTGTTTGTGTAAGCTGTGTTATATCCATGGCCTTCAGTGGCATAGCTGGGATTCGGACTTCGGCAAAAATCTATAAATACTATGATAAAAGGAATACTATGAAAACTTTCCAAAAAATGCATACATTTTTTTCTAAAATGTATCAAGTTTCTCTTGTTTGTAAAATAGAAGAAATTTTCTAAACAAACCCATTCATAATTTTTTTTTTCTAAAAATAGACCTCCTTGAGTATTTTTTTATAAAAATCGACTCATTTTATCTTAATCCGGTTTCTAAATAGCCGGGATTGCCAACCCCGACTATTTAGTACATAGAATGTTAGAGTTTAGGGTTATAATTGAGGGTTTACAACCTCCTAAATAATCGGGGTTGGCAACCCCAACTATTTAGGAACCGGATTAAGATAAAATGAGTCTATTTTTGTAAATAAAACTCAATGAGGTCTATTTTTAGAAAAAAAGTATAAATGGGTTTATTTAGAAAATTTCTTCTTGTAAAATATCAATTGCCAATATATATTAAAAAAAAAACGCAACACATTGAAATAGAAAAATAGACTATTTACATCTAAGATTTACAAAATAACTTAATACATATAATTATTAAATAAATAAAGCAAAAAAAGACAAACATAATGATAACAAAAATTAAAACAATGAGTGAACAATACTATACGTGGTCATAACAAAAATAAGAGAATGAAAAGGAGGGGGGAATTATATCTTTAGGTTTTAGAGAATATACCACTACTTGTCTCCGTAATTGAAGAAGGAAAACAAAAAAATCTTTTGAAACTCAATTAAAATATGAGCTCTTGAATTTTGGGGCAAATATTGAGAGAGATTGGCAGAATTTACATTTGATGGGAAACAAAAATCCGACAAATCTATTCCTTTATACAAAAGGGAGAACCAGAGAGTTACTGTTCATGCTACAACAGATTTACTGTAGAAAATAATTAATTTAAAAATATTACTATAGCACACGGGTACACTGTAGCATTTAAAAGGTACTGTAGCAGAGCGGGATACTGTAGCATTCCCAGAAAATTCAAAGCAGGTAATGTTAAAAAGGCGGGATTACTGTAAAATAAAAAAAAAAAGTGCTTTGCACGGACAGCAGACTAGTAGGCGTATGAAGACAAAAGAAGCGGAGGGGCGGGCCTGAAGAAAATATGGTCTACAGTATGTAATAGTCCTACTGGATTTAGTTTCAGTTCGGATTAAATCCATAGCGACGTGATTTGAACCTAATTCTTTTGCTTAAGGATAATGGTTTGGGCTTGGTTTCTGAAATTATAGGCTTTGCTCAAAGCGTCTCGTGCGGTGCGCGTGTGGGATCTTTTGCTTGTGTTAAAAGTAAGATAGAATCTTGGGTAAATTTCTCTTAAATTGAATATTGAGTGTACACATGTATTTATACAAGTAGAGGAGGGTGAAATGTGTTCTCACAATCAACGTGGGACTAAAACCCACTACAATACATTATTATCAACAGTCCTCCTCAAACTCATGTTGGATCAAACAAAGTGAGTTTGCGTACAATAAACTGCAACCGATGAACATGTAAGGCCTTTGTGAAGAAATCTGCAAGCTCGTCAGCGGATGAGACATGAGGAAGTAGAATTGTCTTGTCATTGATAACTTATTGACGGACAAAATAAGCGTCGATCTCAATATGTTTGGCCCTCTCATGAAATATTGGATTATTAGCAATCCGGATGGCACTCTTATTATCACAGTAGAGAGGAGTAGGAGTCGTAAAAGAAATATCGAAATCACTGAGAAGACGACGAAGATGAATAATCTCTTTAGTTGTTGTGGACATTGCATGATACTCTGCCTCGGTACTAGAAAGAGCAATCACATCTTGTTTCTTACTCCGTCAGAAAATTAGGGAATCACCAAGAAATATACAATAGCCTGTGGTAGATTTTTTGGTAGTTGGATCACCAGCCCAATCAGCATCACAATATGCACAAAACTCTAACTTGGATATAACAGGAAACAGAAGAGAGCGAGTGCTAGTATCTCGGAGATACCGAAGAATCCGTAATAAGGCAGCATAGTGTACAGAACGTGGGACACTAACAACTTGACTAATAATACCAACAACATGAGAGATAACTGGTCGAGAGATGCACAAATAGACCAACTAGCCAACAAGATGTCGACATCGAGTAGGATCAGATAGATGCTCACCATCAGTAGAGCGAAGTTTAACATTCTGTTAGAGTGGAGTGTCGACAGTTGCATCATCAGGTAGCTCAGCTCAATCTAGAATATCTGAGTGATACTTCTGTTAAGAAAATAGTACATCCCGCGGACCTTGATAAATTTCTAGACTAAGAAAATACCGAAGAGATCTAAGATCCTTCATGTGGAACTATTATTGCAACTGAGATTTTGCGTACTGTATACCATTCACATCATCACCTATAATGATCATATTATCTACATAGATGAGTAATAAAACTTTGCCACACAATGTAGTGCGAACAAACAGAGAAGCATCTTGACGACTTTTCATAAAGCCCGTCTGGAGCACGACATCGCGAAAACACTCAAACCAAGTGTGGGGTGCCTGCTTGAGACCATAAACAGCACGACGAAGGAGACATACATGTCTCGGAGGAATATTGGACTCTGGAGGCGGTTGCATATATACTGTCTTAGATAAAAGCTATGGAGAAAAGTATTTTTGATATCCATCTGGTATAAGGGCTAACGATGAGCAGCAGCGATAGCAAGAAGAGTACGAACGGTGGGCATCTGAGCAACAAGAGCAAATGTCTTTTCATAATCAATGCCTTGTTGCTAAGTAAAACCTCGAACCACTAAACGAGCTTTCCGACATTCAATGGTTCCATCAGGACGAAACTTGACTTTATAAATCCATTTACTACCAACAAAAGAGATCCCAGGAGGACAGGGAACAACATCCCACGTATGAGTTTGCTGAAAGGCTTTAAATTCCTCAGCCATAGCATGTCGCCACTCTGGAATTTGAACTACCTCTTGAAAGGACTTTGGCTCAACGGTAGTATGAATGGAAGCAAAAAAGTTATGAAAGATAGGTGAATAAGAAGTAACCGAAGCATACCGGGCAGACATGACATATGGGCATTTGCCTCGACGAAGAGAAAGAGTAACCTCAGATGGAGAAGATGGTGTAAGAGAATGCTCGGGTGAGGAAGAGTCAACAGAAGGAGATGGAGAGATGTCAGGGAGATCTCGAAAGGAAAACCGAGGTGAAGAAGTGGGTGATGCAGCTGACGGTGAAGCATGATCAGTAGAGTGGAGGAAACTAAAGTCATCAGAAGCAGAATAATATGGAAAATCCTCTTCAAACTGAACATGACGAGATATATGAACTCGACGAGTTGTAGGATCATAACAACGATAACCTCGATGTTCCGAACTAATTCCTAAATAGACACAAGAAACAGCTCTGTGAGATAATTTATTATGTTCGTGAGATGGCAGAAGAACAAAACATCGACAACCAAAAGTACGGACTAGATCATAACGGGGAGGATGAGTATAAACACGACTATAAAGAGTAGCACCAGAAAGAGAGCTAGATGGAGTGATATTAATGGCATGAGTCGCGGTGAGAATGGCCTCAGCCCAGAAACGACGAGGAACAGAGTAAGAAATGAGAATGGATCAAGCGGTATCGAGGATATGACGATGTTTGCGTTTAGCAACATCATTTTGCTCATGAGTGTAGGGACATGACTGTTGAAAGATAGTCCCATGAGAGGACATGATAGAGCGCATAGTAGAGGATAGGTACTCTTTGACACAATCAGAACGAAAAACTTTAATACGAGATTGCCATTGAATAAAAATCATAACAGTGAAGTCTTGATAAGTAGTAAGTACGTCAAAGCGATTCTTAAGTAGGTAAACCCATGTAAAATGAGAGAAATCGTTGATAAAACTAACATAATATAAGTAGCCAGATGAAGAGGCAAAGGAACTGGCACCCAAATATCAGAATGTATTAAATCAAATAAAGAAGTCGATACGGATGTCCTCATTTTAAATAGTAAAGCAATGAATTTAGCTAATTTGTAACCAGTACACGATTCAATACTAGAACTAGATAATACAGGACCAAGTACTCTAGACTGAATAAGACTCTCCAGCCTTTTATTAGACACATGACCAAGTCATCTATACCACAAATTGGCAGGAAGCGAGGTAGAGGGTTTTGACGAACAAACAGAAGCAACAAGAGAACGTGGACGTATAGACTCTGAAAGATGAAGATATTCTAGAAAATACAGCTTGTGCCTCTTACGACCCGCCCTAACTGTCTTGCCCGTCCGTGGATCCTGCACAATTCAAGTATCAGAAGAAAATGAGACAAGCATGCCAGCCATACATAAAGAGCTAA